TGTGTGTGTGTGTGTGTGTGTGTGTGTTCACGTCACTTGTTGGTTGGACAGGTGGTATATGATGATGAATCGAAGGTGTTTGTCACTCGTTTTTCAGTCATTTGGGGTGTGCGTGTGTGTGTGTGTGTTCGCGTCATCTTTTCGTTTACTTGTTGGTTGGACAGGTGATACATGATGACGAATCAAGGTGTTTGTCATTCGTTTTTTAGTCATTCCGTGTGTGTGTGTGTGTGTGTGTGTGTGTGTGTGTGTGTGTGTGTGTTTGTGGGTTTGTGTTGTTGTCATCTTTTCTTTTACTTGTTTGTTCCACAGGTGGTATATGATGACGAATCAAATGTCCTCCCCACTCCTCTTCCCATGTTCCTCCCTCGTCCATCATCGTCATAGTCCTTGTCATCCCTACTCCTCTTCCCCCCTCTTCCCCCCTCTTCCCCCATCTTCCCTCCTCTTCCCTCCTATGCACTACGAGTGTCAACAACCTCGACAGGGGCTTGCTGAAAAGATGATGGTACCGGTAAGGGCATATGGGAAACGTTTCCGCTGGTTCTCAACAGGCAGCCGGTAGGGGCATAATGAAAATTTGGTATGGGTACCGGTAGGGGCATATGAAACATGTTTGAGGCCCATCATTCATCGTCAGAGGGGCGTGACAAGGTAAGTCGGCCGTTGGAGGGGCACGCCACAAATAAACGCAAACTTCAGGGGCACTTCGAAAATTCTCCGCCCCCCCCCCCCCCCAAAAAAAAAAAAGCAGGAAGACCACATGCATCCACACACTGACAATTAAGAGCGCTGAAGGAAGACACAAGACACTTTGCAATCGGAAGGTAAATTCTTTCGCAGCAAAAGTTTTACCCGTGATCGGCGTGATGTGCAAGGACTAGAATGCTTTTCACACTTCTTGGCACAACATCATACGCAAGTGGGGCAAGAAAATTACTCAACATTTCAAGTGCAAAGATGTATCCCATAGAAGAAATGAAAATCCAACTTGCAATGTTTGTTTCTCTTTGAGGCTATGAACTCTGTTGCACTCCAGCAAATAGGGGAAAGTACGCGGAAGTCACAAAAAAACCAGTTTGAAAATACATTTCAGGCCAAAACCAGTTTCAAATTGCACTTTGAGCAATGCATACAAGCCTGCTTCCGGTCAGGTAACATGCCCGAAATGTAATCTGAAACTCGTTTCAGCCCGAACTGTAATTTTAAACTATTTTTTGAGAACAAAAACAGTTTGAAAATACATTTCAGGCCAAAGCCAGTTTCAAATTGCACTTTGGGCAATGCATACAAGCCTGCTTCCCGTCAGGTAAGGTGCCCGGAATGCAATTTGAAACTCGTTTCGGCCCGAACTGTAATTTTAAAACTGTTTTTTGGGACTTCCGCCTAGTTACCTAGGCTACCAGAGTGGCCCGGGGCCACTTACCCGGCCGGGCCAAGAAAAAATAAAAAAGGGGTAACTTCGGCACAGTCACGAAAGCAGTTTGTAATTGCATTTGAAACTGCGTTTTCGCAGTTTAGTCAGGGCCTGAGTTTCAATTGCAGTTGAAACTCGGGCTGCCTTTTTCGGTAGCAGTTCAGTCAGGGCCCTCGTCTATCCAGGAACAGCATATAGAAAAAAAAAAAAAAAAAAAAAACATCCCTTATGCTGTGATTGCGGTCCTATACAGGATGCTACAGTACTTGTCTGGAACTGAATGAAGCGAGGCAGTTAGCTGCCTTGCGTGGAATCCGCCCTGCCTGGCTGGCAGGGCGCTACAAGGACCTCACAACAAGAAACAAAAAAGGAAAACGACGTGTTTCATGTTCCTCACTTCCTGGCCAAATACATTCCTCAAAGCACTGGTGACGTGAGGGCCTTCCCGACGTAGGTGGATTCGAAGTTCCTCGTTTCTTGACTTTTTTATTTCTTCTTTGGGGCTCGTTCGACACTCCTCGGGGCGTCCGCGGGCCCCGAGGACGATTCCTCGGAGTCGCCCGAGGAAATTGTCGCCTTCGTTCCACTCATCCTCGAAGTCGACCCCCGACGACGATTCCTCGGGGCTCCCGCGGCCCCGATTTATATATGCACAAGCGGACGCGGGGGTGGGGCTGACGGTGGTCCACCGAGTTGTGTCCGTGCGAACGGCGGTGGTCCACCTTTGTTGGCCGTCGCGAATTCGAAGGAGGGCGGGAAACGAGAAAAAAACAAAACTGGGGCCCTTGGAAATGGCGCGCAGCGCTCCTGTTCAAAATTTGAAATTGGAAATCAGGCTTTGCGATCGGCGGCGCGTGGAGGACGTACGTTTCATGCCTGGTTGCGTCTGCGGCTGGCGTTCGTGGCGTTCGCATAAGTGACGATTGTCCCCTGCGGTTGTCGTCGATGAGCACGGTCGTCTACGTGTTGGTGGCAAGGGAGACGACATTGATACGTGAGCGTTGGGAAAGGCAGACGACCATCGTCAGTGCGTGGCTCCCAAGATATTGCACAGCCACCGACGCTGTGATCTTCCGCGTGGCGGTGTTTGTGGAGTCCAGTGTTTTGATTGACGTGATGTCATCGGAAGCGGCGTCTGGGATGGACGTTGACGGCGGGGTAGGACGCGGCGGTTTGACGACGGCGGAGAGGACGGCTATTGCAGCGGTGGTTAATGCCGTCCTCTTCCGCTGTCAGATGGCGAGCAATGACGCGAACTTCAAAGCGACGGCTATTGCTGCGGTGGTTAATGTCGTCCTCTTCCGTTGCCAGATGGCGAGCAATGACGCGAACTTCAAAGCGGCTTTTCGTGCACGGTGCAAGTTGTTGGCGCTTCCGACGACTGGGCAGTGCTTGGATGTCGCTGCCATTTCCGACACGGTGCTGGAGGTCTGCTACGCGATGGGGTGTGGGGGGTTTCCACGGGCGACTCCACGGTGGTGGGTGAAGCGGCGAACGGGCGGCACGTGGGAGGATCTGCCGCAATGTGATGACGCAATGGATGATTACTTCAAGGAGAAGCTTCGAATGTCGCCTCGTGTTTTCCGCGAGATCGTGGAGACTCTTTCCCCACTCCTTCAACGCCGTGTGAAGTTCTATAGGGTGCCTTTGCAGCCAGACCACATCATTGCCTATGCACTGTACAGGTTGGCCACGGGGGAGACGTACGACAGCAGGACGTGTAGCTTCGGCATCGGGAGGGCTTCCGGCATCACCGCGGCGCGTGACATCACGGTGGCGTTGCTGACTGCTTACCCCGACAAGAAATCATGGCCCACTGGTTTGCAAAAGGCGGTCGTGTTGCGCGCCTTCACGGACAAGGGGTTTCCAAACTGCCATGGGTGCATCGAATGCACACATATCTACATTGACAAACTCGCGAACACCAACGGTGAGGACTACTGCGACAGGAGACGTCGATTCTCCGTGCAGGCGCATGTGGTGGTCGACATGAACTTGCGTGTGCTGGACGTCTTCGTCGGTTATCCGGGGAGTGTGCATGACATGAGGATGCTGAACCGTCGAGTTTGTGGGTGCGCGCGGAGTCAGGACAACTTTTCACAGGGCCGCATGTGATGCTGCCTTTTGGTGTGCGGACTAATGGCTACTTGCTCGGCGACAACGGTTCTCCGCAGTCGGAATGGATAGTTGTCCCTTAAGGCGGTCTCGCGCAACACCCGACGGAGGCACGCTTCGACAACAAATAGAAGACGGCCAAGGGAGCAGTGGAGAGGGCGTTTGGCAGACTGAAGGGGATGTGGAGGTTGCTCCTCCGCACCCACAAGTGCAACATGGACAGCTTGCCGCAACAATTCGTCGTCGTCTGCATCCTCCACAACATACTCATCGACGTCGGCGTCCCGTTTGACGACAATCATTTGTGGGAGGTGGGTCCAGACGGCGTGTGTCGTAGAGTGGATCTGGGGATGCATCAACCATTGAGGCCAGTGTTCATGGAGTCTTCGACGGGGGATGCGCTGATATTGAGGGACGCGTTGGCGGAGCGGATGATTGCGCAGTGAGGTTGGCCGTGTTCGCAGTCGGATGAAAGTGCGACCAAAAACATTTACGTTGCAGCGAAGGCCCACTGGCGGGTAAAAAAACTAAAAACAATTCCATCTTGTTGTTTGGTCTTCCCCCGTGTGACCCGGCGCACTTGCCCTTAGTGGAAAGTGTGAGGGTCGCAACTTCGTCCTTTCTGGACAAGGTCCCCCCATGTGGCCACGCGGGGAGCAAATGCCAAATGCCTGAAAAAACCCCAACCAAATGCCCCAAATTTTTGAGACTTTTGGTCCCCGTGTGAGTATGCCCTCATTTACTTGGCTATTGCATTATCTGAAGACCGCCCTCCTGTTAAAGAAAAGAGAAAACTACGGCGCAGTCAGGGTTTGAGTTTGTAATTGCACTTGAGGCAAAAGGGCCGGTAATGCTGAATGTATATGACCTACGTTTCGGGTCCGGTGGGGTCGCGTGGGGGTGTGTTGTATTCGCGGGATTGCCTGAAGTGCAATTACAAACTGTTTTCGTGACTGCACCGAAGTTACCACTAAAGAAAAAGAAGAAAACGGACAAACAACGGAGAGAAAGGATAAAGATACATTTTCGACATTTTCTCCTCGCCATATAGCATGTCGAACAAGATGCAAAAAAAAATCAGGAGCTGCCAGGGAAAGGGTTTCTACACCTCATGTAGAGAAGGGCTCGTTTCCCAGCCTGCAACTTGGAGATTTTCAACAGTCCTTGGATGGGATGTCGAATTCTTGCTCGAATGTCGAAAAAGAGAACGCACCAACGCTTCTCCTGTCTTCACCCCAGTTTGTCTCTTTTGTGCACCGGACTTGTGAGTTTTTCACTTCGGCATACCGTGTGGCGAAGAGGGGTTTTCTGTCGAAAGAGGGAATGTCGAGAGTAACGGATGCATCTGGCAACGGTAAATTGTCATTTTACATTCGTATTAGGACGGACAGAAGGCAGAGCAAAGACTTTAAACTAGCCTATCCCAATCCTCTAACCCTCCTGCCAAGATTTACTTAGCTCGTATTAAAGCAGGATGTCATTTGGTAGTATTAAAGCAAAACAACTGAGGGCTTCGCCACAGCACTGGAGAAATGTGCAAAAGGAGAATGAACTTTCCGCCAGAACATGGCCAGATGTGCCCAGCACAGTTTTGTCTTTTTCACATTTACGTCTGTCACTTACTTCTCCTTGATGAACCCCGGGGCCAAGCCCCACTAGCAGCCTTGGGCGACCTGAACGCCTCAATCTGGACGTGTTTGTGGAGACGTGCAGTTCAGGAAACTCAACACCATTTCTGCACATCTCCTCAAAAGCGTCCAGATTCAGGGGTTGAGGTAGCTCAACGCTGCTAGTGGGACTTGGCCCCAGGAGACAGCAGCGGCGGTCACCACGAACCCAAGTTACTGTACCAAAAACCAAGCGGATAAAGAAGGGAAAAAAAAAAAAAAGGGCCCAAAACCAAAAAGGGCCCAAAACCAAAAAAAGGGGCCTCCAAGAAAAGGGGCCAAAACCAAAAAAAGGGGCCTCCAAGAAAAGGGGCAAAAACCAAAAAAAGGGGCCAAAAAAAAAAAAAGGGGCCTCCAAGAAAAGGGGCAAAAACCAAAAAAAGGGGCCAAAATAAAAAAAGGGGCCTCCAAGAAAAGGGGCAAAAACCAAAAAAAGGGGCCAAAACCAAAAAAAGGGGCCTCCAAAAAACTGCTGCGAGATGCCAAAGAGAGTCCGACTAAAGGCCGTTCGAAATCGTCACCCTCCTACATTCTTCCCCCGAATACAACGCATGGTCATCCCAGCTGTATCTAGACTCAAATACAGCTAGAATGACCGTACGTTGTATTCGGGGAAAGAAGGTTGGGTGGGTACGAACCCAACTTCCGAAAAAAAAAAAAAAAAAGGGAAACCAAAAAAAGAGATGTCCAAAAGACTACTGAATGTGGAAAAAAAAAAAGAGATCAGTTCGATGTGTGAAAAAAAGAAAAAGAGACGGCAGGATTTGGGTCACTCAACTGTCCCACAAACTCGTTTCTACCCTATCCCGTTACTAGTGGGACCTCGCCCACGGAGTCCAAAGTAGGCGATCGAAGAATGTCATCATATTCAAAACACAAAAGTGAGGTTATTCAACGTGTTTTCTTTCGAAAAAAAAGAAAATAAAACGTGATCATACAAAAAAAAAGAAAAAAAGAAAAGAAAAGAAAAGAACGTGATCCCACAGACAGGATTTCCACAATTTCATAAGAACCCAGCGCCGTTCAACACCACAGAACACCATCCTGAACTCCGAATCTGAGCAACACGCTATTGAGCACATGCTGCTCTCTCTCTCTCTCTCTCTCTCTCTCTCTCTCCCCCTTCCTTCCCCACCCACCCAACCCACGGACAGGATTTCCACACTTCGATAAGAACCCAGCGCCGTTCAACACCACAGAACACCATCCTTAACTCCCAATCTGAGCAACACGCTCTTGAGCACATGGTGCTCTCTCTCTCTCTCTCTCTCTCTCTCTCTTGCTCTCACGCACGCACACACACACAGACTCTCTCTCTCTCTCTCTCTCTCTCTCTCTCTCTCTCTCTCTCTCTCT